CTACTCCTGCTGCTGCTACTACTACTACTACTACTACTCCTGCTGCTGCTGCTACCACTGCTACTACTACTGCTGCTGATGATGCTGCTGCTGCTTACGACGCTCCCTTTATCATCGTACGTGGCTGTCAGTACGGCAGCAATAAACTGTCGTTGGCATTTATGGGTGTCATTCATTATAGCAGTGTGTGACTACTGCGGTGACACGTCTGGCGAGAGAAAGAGAGAGAGGGGGAGAGGGAGAGAGAGGGAGATTGAGAGAGAGAGAGAGGGGAGAGAGAGAGAGAGAGCGAGAAGGAGAGAGGGGAGAGAGAGAGAGAGAGCGAGAAGGAGAGAGGGGGAGAGAGAGAGAGGGTGGGAGAGAGAGGGGGAGAGAAGGAGAGAGAGAGGGTGGAGAGAGAGAGAAGGGGAGGGGAGAGAGAGAGTGAGAGAGAGGGGAGGGGAGAGAGAGAGTGAGAGAGAGGGGGAGGGGAGAGAGAGGGGGAAAGCGAGCGAGAGAGAGGGGAATGGGAGAGAAAGAGTGAAAGAGAAGGGAAGGGGGGAGAGAAAACGTGAGAGTGAGAGAGAGAGAGGGGAAGGAAGAGAGAGAAAGTGAGAGAGAGAGAGAGAGAGAGAGAGAGGCGTGAGGGGGAGAAAGCGAGCGAGAGAGAAAGAGAGCGAGAAAGAGAGTGAGAGAGAGAGAGAAAGAGAGAGAAAGAAAGTAAGAGTGCGAGAGAGCGGGAGAGAAAGAGAGAAAGTGAGAGTGAGTGAGAGAGAGATAGAGAAAGAGAGAGAGAGAGAGAGAGAGAGAGAGAGAGAGAGAGAGAGAGAGAGAGAGAGAGAGAGAGATGTAGTCCAATAAGAAACACGCATCAATTTTACCAGCATTTGTTTACACGTGACCTAGCAACACGACAAACGGCAGTCTCTCTGTCGGCCAACGAAATGTCACTACTCGAGTTGCCGCGCAGGGAATCTAACCCAGTGCTGACACCTGGTGGGGACGCTTACCTCTCCATGAACGTCTTCAGCGTGTCGATGGCGCGTCGGTCATTAAGGCGGCGCATGTCCAGTTCGCTGACCTGTTGCCGCGCGGACACAAGCTCTGACCGCGCCATGTCCAGCTCCGCGCGGTCTCGCTCGATCGTGTGCTTCAAGATCTGATCTCTGCTGTCCGCAGCGGTGAGCGACTTAGTCACCTCCCTCACCTGCAAGAGTTAAGTACATAGTGAGGGACTTAGCTCCCTCACCTGTAAAAGTTAAGTCCACAGTGAGGAACTTAGCTCCCTCACCTGCAAGAGTTAAGTCCACAGCAGGGTTCTCCAAGAGCACTTATAGCCTGGCGGCCCGCCAGGCTATCGTCGAGCCCCGCAATCCTAAAATGCACCCCCAATCTAAATATCATAGCCGCCATGCTAAATATCATAGCCCCCGGACACCCCTAGCATGCAAACCGCCTTCGGCGATTTGCAACTAGGACCGTAAAGGCAGCACCCCCATGCTATAATGAGAAAGCTAGGAGAACCCTGCACAGTGAAGGACTTAGCTCCCTCATCTGCAAGAGTTAAGTCCACAGTGAAGGACTTAGCTCCCTCATCTGCAAGAGTTAAGCTGGGTTTACACTACCAACTTTATGTTGGCGAATTGGACCCAAAAACTTCCCAACCATACAACTGACAATCGTCAGTGTAAATGTGAAGGTCGCGCGAGCAACTGGTCAATAGAGACTAGTTGGGAGATTAGAACATGTTCTATTTTTCGCCAACTCGGAGTTGCCGCATTGCCAAATTGGTCCAACTCGCCAATTTGTCAACATAAAGTCTGTAGCGTAAACCCAGCTTTAGGTGTGGTCCACGATGAGGAACTTAACTCCCTCACCAACACACGCAGCGAGAGGGGGTGGGGGGAGGGGAACAGGGAAAAGAGGGGAACTATGCCAATAAAATTATGCCAGTGTAAATACGACAGGAATGCGACAAAGTACGTATGAATCAAGATATGGGATTGCGATGTCCACTACCTTGCACTCAGCGTCGTGTAGATCTTTCTTGTGAACCAGCTCAGCAGAGGTTTGCTGCACGAGCAGCTGATATACCTTCTCCCTCCATCTCGTCAACAGGTTCCCCGGAGCAGGTGAGACCACATCTGGCGCCACCTACAGGCAGAGCGCAGAGGTAATTGACTACGATATTCTCATTAATTGCACTTCTATGCTGTTAACGAAAACAGACATTACACACGAAATCACTTTGTGAATAATGGCCATGAAAGACGATGGATTGAAGCGGCAGCATCGCTTCGTGCTTCATGTGTACGTGTATATACATTATACACAGGCACGCATACACACACACGTGCACCCAAGCACACACATATGCAAGCACACATACACATACGCACGCACGCACGCACGCACGCACGCACGCACGCACGCACGCACACACACATATATATATATACTCACATCAGCCATCTCTTTCTCCTGTATGGTCAGGATCTGTGTGATCGCTCCCAGCCTCACCTCTAGCAGGCCCACCTGAGTCGTCAATCGCTCGTTATCACCGACCAACCTCTGCAAGCGATCGCGCAACGTTACCACCCATCCACGTCACCGTACAATCATCTAGTACAGTTACAACACAACAGAGCTCAGTCTAATCTATCCACGTCATCGCCCAATCACCTAGTACAGTTACAACACAACAGAGCTGAGTCTAATCTATCCAAGCCACCATGCAATCATCTAGTACAGTTACAACTTACAACACAACAGAGCTCAGTCTCATCTATCCACGTCACCGCCCAATCACCTAGTACAGTTACAAGTTTACAACACAACAGAGCTCAGTCTAATCTATCCAAGCCACCATGCAATCATCTAGTACAGTTACAACACAACAGAGCTCAGTCTCATCTATCCAAGTCACCGTCCAATCATCTAGTACAGTTACAACACAACAGAGCTCAGTCTAACCCATTCAAGCCACCGCACAATCATCTAGTACAGTTATAACACAACAGAGCTCAGTCTAATCTACCCCAGCCACCATCCAATCATGTAGTACAGCAAGGAAAAAGTCTAACTAAGCTTACGCGAAAAGTTTGACACAAAATATTGTGTGCAAATCTGATATGAATGCTCTATTATTATGACCGCTCCGGATTTCCTCTGAATAATACCCCAGTGACCAGTCGCTATTGAATTGTAAGCTAACAAGAACTGCTAATACTCACTGAAATCTTCTCTGTCTGTTCCTGCAACTCTTCGTTAGTTGGCAGGTCATCCACCGGTCCTTTGCCAATGTAAGCTTTCAGCTTGACCACTTCGGCCATCTTTTCCTCCAACTGGCTTTTCAGTTCACTGAAATCAATCCAACACCGCGAGATCAATAACCTTATCGACCAGCTTAGTGCAAGACATTTTAATAATTAGTAAATTCATGATATATATAGACATATGACATATGATATAGGTAGCTAGTGATGTCACGATCATCGATTATACTCGATCATCGGTTGAACAGTGGCTGGAGCCAAGCGCTTGGTTATCAAAATCCATAATCAATTTCATCAAAAAAAAAAAAACTTGGAAAAGTGATGAGAATCAGAGATAT